TATGTTATGTTGTGTGCCTTGACTAGTTCGTATTGCTAGTCTTCTCTGCGCGTGGGCTTCACGCGCCACCTTCTGCCGGCGCGTGAGCACTATTGCGAGGAGGCTTCGGCCGGTCTTGGACAGAGAAGCTCGTCTTCTCCTCCTCTTTACTACTCGGATCTGTGGTTGGTTCTTTGTGAGTTACTCTAACTTTGTGTCCCGCACCTCTTCTTGATTGGTGATAAGACTCAATTTCTCTTTTATTCGGTTTGTCTCTTTGTAATTTGATGGCAGCAAACCCTCCAATTCATTCGGAGGTCAAGTCTTCATCTCCTCCTTTGAGAAATTCTCCCAATATCATCTCTACCAATATTGGGTCCATTACCTCTTCAAAATTGAAGGGATCTGTTAATTACAAGAACTGAGCCACCTCTGTTCGAGTTTGGTTCTTTGGACAAGGATATGGGAACCATCTCACAACTAAGTCTACTGATGTCCCTAAGGAGGACAAGTCTGATTGGGAAAAGATTCGACAACCAACTTCTGAGTATCCCTGGCAATCCATTGATCCGATTGTCTTGGATATCTTTTATTCATTTCAAACTTGCACTGAAGTGTGGGGGGAAGCAAAAAACCTCTACACTAATGATGTTCAGCAGCTCTATTTCATCATCTCTCAGTTTATGGAATTGAGCAAATCATCCGACAATCAGATGGAGACATATATTGGCAAGAAGTCGCTCTTTGATGCACATATTTATATGCTGCTACTGCATGCATCGGAAACAGGTGAAACGTCTCTTTATGGTTGCCACACTTTCTGGCCTTCCCGAAGAATATGATAATGTTCGTGATACTATCTTGACTAGTGGGGAGCCTAATCTATCCATAACGTATCAGCGTCTTCTGAATTTGAATAAGAAATCTGCTCCTGCATCGTCTTCTGCTGTTGATTCTACTGCTCTAGTTTCCCGTACTGATTTTCGCGGGCATATTGGAGGAGGACGTGGTCGTGGTAGAGGCCCAGGAGGCCGGGGCCCAGGAGGCCGGGGCCCAGGAGGACGTAGCCCAGGAGGTCCAGTCGGACGTGGTCAGCGACCTCGTTGTCATTACTGTCAGCAACTTGGTCATTATGAGGAACGCTGCTACACCAAGTATCCTCACATGCGACCTTCTTTTGCTGCTAATGTAGCTCAATCGGATACTGCTTCAAATGGTTCAGTCTCTCTCTCCTCTGAAGAATATGCAGCATTCCAGGCCCTTCTCAGGAAGTCCTCTCCTCAATCTCAGGCCTCTGCTTCAGAAACTGGTAATCCTGTTGCTTGTGTTTCTCATTCTGCATCACTTGGTCCTTGGATATTTGACTCAGGTGCTACTGATCACCTCTGTGGTAATAAGGAACTCTTCTCTTCCCTTACATATTCTAATAATTTACCCTCTTTTACTCTTGCTGATGGAACTACGGCCCCCGTTCATGGGATTGGACAAATCTGTCCAACCTCCTCATTGACCTTGACATCTGTCTATTACATTCCTCACATCCCTTATAATTTAATATCGGTTAGTAAATTGATCAATTCTCTTAATTGTATTGTCACATTCTCAAATCATTCTGTTTCTGTGCAGGACCCGGGTACGGGAAGATGATTGGAGTGGGCCGTGAGTCACGGGGTATGTTCTACCTTGATGTGCCGAGTCCTTCAGTTGCTTGTTCTCTCATAGAATCTCCACGGCTCATCCACAGTCGTCCCGGGCATCCTAGTCTTGCGAAATTGCAGAAGATGGTTCCTCTTTTATCCGGTCTTCAAACTTTAGATTGTCAGTCATGTCAGCAAGGAAAGCACATACGCTCCTCCTTTGCTAATCAAGTCAATAAACGAGCTGATGCTCCTTTTTCAATTATTCATTCAGATGTTTGGGGTCCTAGTCCTAGTGTGTCTATTTTAGGTTTTCGGTATTTTGTCACCTTTATTGATGATTTCTCCCGTTGTACTTGGATTTATTTAATGAAAAACCGTTCTGAGTTGTTTTCTATTTATCAAAGGTTTTCTGCTGAAATTCATACTCAATTTGGTGCTTTTAATCGTATTTTACGTAGTGATAATGCTAAGGAGTATGTTTCTGTTGACTTTTCTCACTTCTTAGCCACACAGGGTACTTTACACCAAACCACTTGTCCTCACACTCCACAACAAAATGGAGTAGCTGAACGTAAGAATAGACATCTCATTGAGATTGCAGGACTCTTCTTATTCACATGCATGTTCCTCTTCACTTCTGGGCTGATGCAGTCCTTGCTTCTTGCTTTCTCATCAACCGCATGCCTTCATCTGTGCTTAATAATGATATTCCTCATAACTTATTGTTTCCAGATGTTCCTCTCTTTCCTCTATCCCCACATGTTTTTGGTTGTACCTGTTTTGTTCATGATCTCACTCCTGGTAAGGATAAGTTAACATCCAAAGCCTTTAAATGCATTTTTCTTGGTTATTCTCGTCTTCAAAAGGGTTATCGCTGTTACTCTCCTGACCTCAAGCGTTACTTAGTTTCCGCGGATGTCACCTTTTTTGATCAACAACCCTTTAATTCTATCCCATCTTCATTGTCACAGGTTGATCATGTTCTTCCTGTTCCTTTTCTTGACTTGTCTTTGCCAGATGCAGGTGCTTCTACTCCAGATAAGCCATCACCTATTGCTCCAGTACCTAAGGACCGTCCACTTCTCACTTATCAGCGTCGTAAGACAGTACCTCCAGTCGACTCGACCCCTGCTGACTCATTGCCCTCTGCAGTTGATTCTTCCCTTCCGGATCCTTCACCAGAGGCTCTTCCCATTGCTCAAAGAAAAGGTACACGTACTACTCGTAACCCTTATCCTCTTTATACCTTCTTGAGCTATGATCGCCTTTTTGCTCCTCATTTCACCTTTGTTTCTAGTCTTTCTTCTGTTTCTATTCCTAAGACCACAGGTGAAGCATTTTCCCATCCAGGATGGCGCCAAGCGATGCTTGATGAGATGACCGCACTTCATACCAATGGCACTTGGGACCTTGTTTCTGCTCCTCCAGAGAAGTCTATAGTTGGTTGTCGCTGGGTGTTTACTGTGAAAGTTGGACCTGATGGCCATGTTGATCGTCTCAAGGCACGCCTAGTTGCCAAGGGTTTTACTCAAATCTTTGGCCTTGATTATAGCGATACATTCTCTCCAGTCGCTAAGATGGCGTCCGTCCGCCTATTTCTTGCCCTTGCTGCTGTTCGTCACTGGCCACTCCTTCAACTTGACATCAAAAATGCCTTTCTTCATGGTGATTTACAAGAAGAAGTTTACATGGAGCAACCACCTGGTTTTGTTGCTCAGGGGGAGTCTGGGAAGGTATGTCGTCTTCGAAAATCCTTATATGGTCTCAAGCAGTCTCCTCGAGCATGGTTCAGTCGCTTCAGTTCTGTTGTACAGGCGTTTGGCCTAATTCGCAGTAAAGTTGACCATTCTGTATTTTATAGGATTACATCTCCTAACAAGTGCATCTATTTGTTAGTCTATGTTGATGACATCATCCTCACCGGAAGTGATCAAGACGGAATCCATCAGTTAAAACAACATTTATTCAGTGCATTTCAAACAAAGGACCTTGGGAAGCTGCGTTACTTCTTGGGAATTGAGGTGGCGCAATCTAGACAGGGCATTTCTATCTGTCAAAGGAAGTATGCCTTGGATATCCTAGAGGAGACTGGTATGTTGGGGTGTAAACCAGTTGATACACCAATGGATCCTAATGTTAAGTTATTGCCCAGACAGGGGGAGCCGTTATCTGATCCTGGACGTTATCGAAGGCTGATTGGGAAGCTCAATTATCTTACTGTGACTAGGCCAGATATTTCTTTCGTTGTCAGTACGGCCAGTCAGTTCCTTGATTCCCCTTGTGATTCACATTGGGATGCTGCTGTGAGGATCCTCCGATACATCAAAGGAGCACCAGGAAAAGGTTTGTTGTATTCGGATCAGGGAAATACAGAAATTTGTGGTTACTCAGATGCCGATTGGGCAGGATCACCCTCGGACAGACGCTCTACTTCTGGTTATTGTGTCTTCTTCGGAGGAAACTTAATCTCATGGAAAAGCAAGAAACAACCTGTTGTTTCCCGATCTAGTGCAGAAGCTGAGTATCGTGCAATGGCAAATACTACCTGTGAGTTGATCTGGTTAAAGCAGTTGATTCAGGAGCTTCATCTTTGTGAACAGAAACAACCCATGACACTCATCTGTGATAATCAAGCTGCGCTACATATATCCTCTAATCCTGTTTTTCATGAGAGGACCAAACATATAGAGATTGATTGTCACTTCATTCGGGAAAAGATTCAGTCAGGAGAAATCAAGACAGCTTTTGTCAACTCGTCTAATCAACTAGCAGATGTTTTCACTAAAGCTCTTAGAGGTCCTCGGGTTGAATACATTTGTAACAAGCTTGGTGCTCATAATATATACGCACCAGCTTGAGGGGGAGTGTTAGAATATTAGATATGATATGATTAGATTTGATTAGATATGATTGGATTCTGTCTTATCCGTAAATAGTCTGACTGTATTCTGACTGTGTTAGGATTAGGTTTGGATTAGGTTTGGGCCTTACACTTAAGCCCATTAGGGTCTCTATATATTGTAACTCCCTGACACAGATCAATATACAACGTATTCTTTTACATTTAACTGGGAGAAAAAGAAAGCTCAAGAAAGGCAAGAAAAGCCATTGGAGCTCTCACCTTATGCAAAGATTCCATATCCGCAGAGGTTCAGCGAGGAAATCAAAAAGCAGCAGTATTCCAAGTTCCTTGATATTTTCAAGAAGCTGCAAATCAATATCCCGTTTACTGAAGCCTTGGAGAACATGCCCAATTACGCAAAGTTCATGAAAGATCTTCTATCACGAAAGCGTAAGCTACAAGAATGTGAGACAGTGACGCTGACAGAGGAATGCAGTGCCATTATCCAGAAAAAGTTGCCTCCAAAGCTTAAAGATCCAGGAAGATTCAGCATTCCATGCAACATAGGCAATATAGAAGTGAAAAATGTTCTTTGTGATCTCGGTGCCAGCATCAACGTGATGCCACTATTTATGATGAAGAAACTGAGGATCACTGAAGTAAGGCCAACCAAGACAATAGTTCAACTGGCTGACCGCTCTACAAAGCAAGCTTATGGCATTATTGAGGACATACTGGTAAAGGTTGACAAATTCATCATTCCTGTTGATTTTGTCATCCTTGATATAGAGGAAAATTCTACTATTCCTATGATCTTCGGAAGACCTTTCTTGGCAACCTCAAGAGCGCTGATTGATGTACCGAAAGGCGAGTTGATCTTACGGGTAGACGGGGAGCAAGCAATTTTCAAGTTCTTTGATAAAGAAGTTCCCTCACCTATAATTCAACCGGAAGATCAAGTCTACTATATTAGTGAAAAGAAAGGAGAAGAAGAGCACAAAGAGAATTCTTCTCAAGAAAGTAAGCCAAAGGTTAAAATGGAGAAGCTCAGGAGCAAGGGAAAACACGTAAACACAAAATTCAAAGCTATTGAGCCTACTTCATCTCACTCGTATGCACAAGAGTACTATGGGAGGACACCATTTCTGAATGATAGTGCTTGGTCATCACCAAGCCCATGCTTTGAACCACCATGAACATAAAAGAGGTACGTCAGGCTCATGACGTAAAACAAGCGCTTGTGGGAGGCAACCCAACTATATTTTTTATTTTCCAACATTTTAGTATAGTATTTTAAATTTAGTTTAGCTTATTTTAATTATTCTTAGCATAGTTTATTTTAGTCATATCATAAAAATCAAAAAAAATAAAAACATTGAGGTTAATAATCAAATTCTGTTGAGATGGGCTTTCAGGTGTAAGTGGGATTAAAGCATACACAGGTACGCAACTCTTATTCATTTATATGTTTTGTGTATGATATTGAGCAGAATTATTGAGGTGGAAGAATACACAGTAGAGATGAATGCAAGGAATAGGAAAATATGGAGAAAATTTTCTAAGTATTGAGAGCTTAAGCCCTTAAAGGAGGCTTAAGCCTCCAAAAAAGTGACATTTCTCTCGGCCCTAGCGCGCTTAAGCTCTCTGAATCGCGCTTAAGCGCGAATCACTGCGCTTAAGCGCGCTCATCTTTGACATTATGCATACTGTTAAAGTATTTCAGTTCTATATACTCATTATTATTTTCAGATGCATCTGAATATAAATCTGGGAATTGTTATGTGGAAATTGCACTAACTTTGCAAACATGTTGGATACTCGAATACTAATGCTGATATGGTTGCAGACACTACACAGGATGCTGATAGAAATGATATTGCACCCACTACTGAAATTGATGAGGATTGACCATTGTCTCAATGTTTAGATTCTTTTTTCTTTTGTTGATTTTAGTTCATGTTGATATGAGATGTATATTGAGACTGATCTTGACGTGACTATGATTTTTTTTTGGATATTACATGCTGACGTAGTTTCTTTATCTGTGACATGTGTGCAGAGTACAATATCAAATTTTTCTGATTTCCTGCTTAGGATTCTTTTAGATTTAAGTTTATTGCTGAGGACAGCAAGATTTAAATCTGGGGATGGGTACCATGCAATTCATCAGACCATAAACTTCACATGGTCGGAAGAAGAAACTCTTGATTACATGGAGTACACAGAAATATCCAAATTACAAATGCAGTTTTTCAGGGGAGTTTCTCAATATTATTTTCATATTATATGATTTTAAATATATTATTTTGATTTAGTATTAGTTTATTTTAAGGTCTTCATATATATTAGTTAGTTTAATATTTAAGTTTTTTTTTTAAATTAGTTTTAAGACCCCTTCCATCTTAGTCAATAAATAATTAGTGGATCTTAAGAGATTTTCCATTGTGCTTAATATGGATGCATAATGAATAATTACATGAAATTGGTTGATAGTTGATATCAAGGGTATAATGATGTAAATAAATTTTATTTTCGTACATAAATGAGCGTCAGTTAAGCATGCTTCATAGTTCACTGGAATAAGAGAAGAATAACTAGAGTAATCAAAGAGAGAGTGGAAAAATAAGTCTCACATCCTTAGCCGTAAACTTTTGAGCCTAAACAGAATTTTTTTTGTGGTGTGAACTTTACTGTTGAATCACACTAGAACTTGTTTTGTTTCTCTTTGAAATGGTATGTAGTATATGTAGTATACAATTGTTGAATTGATAGAGGCAGTTCTTTTTAAAAGCTAAATAGCCAAATAGCCACCCTGAAGGTTTATTCTTAGATTAAGCCCTTTTGAGCCGAGGCCTATTTGTTCATTGACAATACATTATGAATAGCCATTCCATACACATCCTCACCTGAACTGATTAATTTTCAAAATTAAATGAGGAACTGGATAGGATTGAAACAAAAAAGAGAAAATCAAACTCTAAGTGTATGGGAGAAAAAGGTGAAAAGAGGGAAATTGCCACAAAATGGTGGAAAAAGGAAATAAAAAGAAAAAGGTTGAACTGTTTATCTGTACAAAAACAGAAAAAGAAAAACAAAAGGAAGAAGGAAAAGAAATAAAAGACTTATATTATATGAATAAGTGGAAGAAGAAAAGAGGAGGAAAATAAGAGAAATCTGTTTACTATATGTTGAACAGTTAAACTAGTTCCTCTTTGAAGTTGAATTTTGATCAGTTATCTTAAGCCACTTACCCAGATGATTCCTTTCCTTTTACCTAAGCCATGTTACAACCTTAACAAAGACCTCTTGATTGACTTTGTATACTAGTAACACTGTGGAGAGTGAGAATATAAACAAGCTTATGGTAGTGTTAATTTAGTGAAGTAAGAGTGAAACACATACCCTTAAACACTGAATGTGAGTGAATAAATAAAAATCCAGTGAGAGGGTGTTGTGGAAATTAAATTGTACTACTCTTTCTTTTGAGAACGCATGTTATGATTTTATGACTGGTGAATTATGACTGTTTGCTTGAAATTGATGTGTCATTGATTTTTAATAAGTCTGAATACTTTGATATCTCATTATTGATCAGTTTTCTACCTGTTATTCATCAAGCATGACTAGCCGTCTCCAAACTTTCCCATAGTTTTATTCTAATTAATTGCTGAGGACATCAATGTTCAAATCTGGGAATTGTTTGATAAACCTTTAGTTTATCTTGTTTAATGGACTAAAATAATATGAATTATCTAGTTGAACAAGTCAAAAATTAGGGTTTTAAAATGATAATCATGAACATTATCTGATTGTTGGAACTAATTAATATATTTGTTATTTTTAAAGGGATTTGATAACAAATGATTCAAATATGAAGATTTAGATAAAGAGAGATCCAATCAGAAAAGAAGATGAATCAAGGTGAAAACAATAAGATTGAAGATCTTATCAAGTTGTTAGAAGTGGGAGCTTAAGCCCCCATTCACAAGCTTAAGCGCCCAGACAAGTCCAACTTAGGCCCATTCAAGTTTTCTACTGCAATACGAACTCTTGATCTATTTAAACACCATTGGGGACCAGAAATACATAACTTTTACATTGCTAAACAACTCTTGGGTGCTTGGAGGCTGAAGGAACGCAGAGAAACATCAGATTCATGTTCGTGAGCGGCGGAGACGGATCAACGTCAAGTGTTCACTGGAGATGTTGAAGATCCACCAATCACTTATGGAGTTTGGGGGAGCTTTTCTATTTTCTTTTGTTCTTGATTTTGCTATGTCCGGCTAGTTCTTTAAGTAGTTAGGGTTAGATGGACTTTAGTCGATTTATTATGTTTTGAACAATTCGCTGTGTTAATTTTCCTTTATATCATGAATGAAGTTATCTGTTTTTAATGCTTTATATAGGCTTGAATCTTATATAATGATCATCGGTGAATGCATGACAATAGAAATGTTGGTGTGTGATCCATATCTGATAACTTCATCGTAAACGTTATGATTCTAGGGATAGACATAGGGTTTGCGTAATCTTTAAGATTCTTGAATTTAATGCTTGCATGCTTCGGGAATAACCGGGGAACTAGGGTTCTTCCAATATTGTAAAGCTTTTAGAGTAACAAGGGATTGAGCTCTAATAACATGCGAAAGAATTGATTAGATTGATACTAAGGACAATTAACATTAAGAAGGAATTCAAACGTAATAAGGAGATTAAATGAAATCGAACCCCTAGCTACGTTTTTATTTTATTAGTTAAATCACATCTTTAATTTCTTGTCTTTAATTCTTGCAAGTAATTAGCTTCAATATTTAATATTTTAATTTTGCAATTCAAATCCTGTTTTCGAATACAACTTCGATTGTCCAACTTAAGTTGCGATAGTGAATTGGTGCTTGAACCGTAATCCTCGTGGGAACGATCTCTTACTTAATCATATATTACTTGTACGATCGGTGCACTTGCCGTGAGTAGCAACAGTAATATATGTTTCAGATCTCTTTTGCCATCCGTTGCTCTCTCAATATGTTGGGGGCTACAGATTTAGTCCTAGGGCTTCAATCCTACATCACATTGTATCAACTGTGTGCAGAGTATTGAACAGCTAACCAAACTAATCAGTGCTAAAGAGAGTACAATACTTTTGAAGTTCCCTTGGAATCATCAATTAATCCACACAGAAATGGAAGCAACTACATCACTTACTCAAGCTCTTGCCGAAGCGCATCAAACAGCTCTCTTTTGGTCTGTTTCTCAGCCCCAGGGGTGTTCAGAACCTTACTCTGTTCAGCCATCTTTATAGTAGTGTTCTTGAGCTCCTCCTGCAGAAAACAAAACACCACAAACTTACAAAATAAACTTTGCGAACATTTGAGAACTTGTAAGCCAATCACAGTAAAGTTCTAAGCAAATGGAAGAAAATTAGACACATAGACATACCATTAGAATTTAGAAAAAGTTTTGTATGCGAAATAAAAAAAAAAATTGAAAAAAAAAAAAACGGATGGTAGAATAGAAAGTACATTAGCTTTGAGCTGGTTGATGATCTTCAATCTGAGGGCATCAATTGTGCCGTCGTTCATCAGCGACTCCAACACATCTTCAGGAGTGATTACCGAGGAAGAAGCCATACGTAAATGTCGAACCGTAACTGTCGATGTCTTATCGATTTTACGCGTGATCGAACCGGTTTTAAAACGCAATAATGTATTGATGGGTGTACTGTGAGTTTGAGGAAACGAGGACAAACCGAAACTCTGAAAACCCTAATCGATGGACGAAGGAAGAAGGCGACAACGGAGGGAAAGCAATATGGTCAGTTACACAGCTGGCAGTCGGCCAGTCAGGCCCCCAACTCCTAAATTTTATACTCCCAATTAATTAATCAGAAAAATATTTTTCTGACAAGTAGTTTAATGGACTTAATAATTTTATTAAGTGGGAAAAACTGTAAAATATAACTTAAGGGTTTAATATTTGTAATTTTATTGTAGAACATTTTTACCTGCCATGTTCACATCAAATTAAGTAGATCCTATTATCTTTTCTCTCTTTCTATTTTTATATTAGGACTCATTTATTTTTATTTTTATGTGAATATTATATTTTTTTTTTTTTGAAGCAGAAACATTTTTCCTTAATTTAAAAATAAAAAAGATTGTCAATATATTTGTTTTTGAAGATGAATTTCACACGTATTTTTATGAGACTATTATTTTTTTATTTATTTTTTTGTATATTATGAGACTATTATTTCGAGAGTACTATTACGTTTACCTATGAGCGGCATATTTATAAAGGTGTGCATGACAACTATTCTATTCCCTAGCATTGTTTCTGAAAAGAAATAATTCTTTTCTATTTCTGTGCCTTGGAACAATTTCTGAGAAAAAATGTGTTTGATAACATATTCTATTTTTATTCTGAGAATGAGAATTGTGTTTGATAACATAACAAAAAATATAATAAAAAATAATTCCTATTAAATATAAAAAAAAATTGGATAATCACTTTCATTTTCATATGGTGTGGTTGTGGTGGTAATGGCGGCAGGGGGTGGCATGGTGGTGGTGGTGGCGACGGCAGTACGTTAGTGGTGGTGGCAGTAACGTGATGCTGATAGTGGTGGTGGTTGTGACGGCAGTGGCTGCGGCGATGGCGAAGGTAATGATGACGGCGGCGATGGTAGTGGCGGGGGTGGTGGTGGTGGAGGTGACGACAGTGGCTGCAACAATGTTGGTGGCGGTTGTGGTTGGTGGAGTTGGTGACGGCGACAATGGTAGTGGTGACATGGTGGTTGTGATGGCTTCGTGATGGTGGTGGCAGTGGTTGCGACGGTAACAGTGGTGGTAGGTGACAGTGGTGGTGGCAAGGGTGGTGTAATGGTGGCGACGGTGGTGATGGTGGTGGCGGCTGTGACGATGGTGATGGTGATGGCGGCGATGGCAGCAGCGGTGACGGTAGTGGTGGTTGGTGACATAGTGGTGGTGATGGTAGCGGTGGCGTCGTGGTGGCGATGATGTTGTGGCAGTGGCGGCGGTGACAACAGTGGTTGTGATGATGGTGGTGGAGGTTGATGGCGGTAGTGGTAACTGTGGTGGTGATAGTGGCGGCGATGGTGACGTGGTGATAGTTATGGGTGGAGGTGGTAGTGATGGTGGCGGTGGCATCGTGGTGGTAGGGGATGGCGACGACGACACTAGTGGTACGACTGCGTCGACGACAATGGTGGCGGTGATCATGTTGGGATGATGGTGGCGGTGGTGGTGGTGATGGTAGAGTTTGAGAGTGATGAGAGAGATAAATATTTATCATTTTGTGCCAAAGAACAAAAAAAGCTGAAATTTTCTAAATTTTTTTATGTTTCCCAACACAAAAATTAAACCGATTCATCTCGGGAACAAAAAAATAAACTGGTTTTACCAGACAAGTTTTCTATCCATTTCTGATCCCGGTAACAGAAATTAAAAAAAATTAATTCCGAGAAGGTTGTCATGCACATCCTAATTAATTGAACTTTGATATTTTCTTCGGTAAATAGTTAAAGGAAAAAGTGTGTATTTTTTTAAAGAATACACACTTATATCCTTTTAAGAGAGATAAAGAAACAAATTTGGGAAAGAGAGAATAGAGAAAAAATTTGTAATTTAAAATTAAAAAAAACACATTATATTCATCTAAAAGGATGATCCCTTATTTCCAAAAAAAAAAAAAAAAAAAAAAGATGATCCTTTTAAATGACAAATAATAAACTCATAGTTAAATTACTCCAAATGTCTCTAAAAGTGAAATTCGTCAATCAAATTAGTCCTCTGTTAATAAGTTTTAGTTAATATCAGCAAATAACTTAACCACTTAAAGGACATAAATACAAAAATAAATTCTAGAGAAATTAAAATTAAAACTTGGTATATTTATACGGATGAACTGGGACATGTAACAAATGTGAGTTAAAAGTCCATTTAGCACGTCACTACTTAATAGATTTAGAGCCTGGATCTTTTTTTTTTAAGTTAGGAGTTACTTAAAAGCTAAAGCTAAAAAAAAAAAACTTAAAAAAAGAAGCTAAAAGCTGTTTGATAATCACATAAAAGTTTTAGCTTAAAAGTTAATTAAAAGCACATATTTCAAGAAATTTATCTTTCTCTATCTTTATAACTCTTTATTTGAAAAAAGAGAGCACACAATTCAAGAAAAACAGATAAGATAAAAAAAGTTCTTCCTAGGAGCTTTTAATTTTCAGCATTTTTCTTCATTATAAAAAAAAAGCTTTTCATTATAAGAGTTTTTTTCAAAACCTGTTTGGCCTAACTTATGCTTATAAGTAGCTTCTAGCTTAAAACAAAAGATGATCCAAATAGGCACTTAGAGTCCGTTTGTTTGGCTTTCTCAAAAAAATAACTTTTATCTCTTCCTTATTTTAGAAGTGCTTTTTCCAAAGTTAAAGCTATTTATATTTTTGTAAAACTATTTAGTTCTTGAAAAAATATTTGGCTTTTGACTTTTACTTTTTCTAGAAGTTAAAATTTTTCGCTTCTGAAAAAAAATAGGTTTTTAACTTTTTTTTTGTAACTTTTACTTTTTTTAAAAACAAACATCCAAACAATCTAAAAATGAGAAGTGCTTTTTTTTTTAAAAAAAAAAAAACTTTTGTAAAGAAAGAAAAAAGTCTATCCAAATGGGCCCTTCCAATAACAATATTCACTCTGTGTGTTTATAAATTTCAATGTAAATTTCATATGCTATCATTCAATATCTAATCACAGTTTACTTGAAATTCTCTTCCAGCTTGTAAGAGAGACTCTTTTTTAATTTAAAATCTCATTGTTATACTAAATTTTTATATTTGATTAAAGTATCCCACAAGTTTTTTGTATTATAATATAAGATAAGATATTATACTTACTTTTTTTTTATATCTATTATACTTATTGATCTGATTAAAATATCAACTAATTTTCATTTTTTTTCTTTTAAAATTTCAATTTAATGGTGTTAAAAAAAATAGGTGGAATAGATATAAAAAAATAGACAAAATAAAATATCCTTTATAATATTGGACAATTATTTATGGCATAAAAAAAGAAGCTCAGTTGTTATGGGTGGGCTCGAATAGCGAACTATTTTCCTAAAGGCCCATTTAGTTGAACTGACAGAAATGCCCCTCGCGCTCTCCTTCAACCCAAAATCGTCCCAGTCCTTTTCCCTTTTCTTCTCAGCCGTGCCCGTAACCATGTCAGGGTCACACCAAGCCGAACCAACGCATTCTTCCCGAAATGCCCCCATAGCCTTGGGGAATTACCCAGTGCCACTGTCCCCTTCGCTTCCCGCAATCTCGAAGGAAATCGAGCTAAGCAGGGCCATGACGGCTGCTTCAAAGTCAAGCCTCTTTTCTCTATCGAGAAGCGACATTCTATACGAGGACGAGTGGCTCATGGCGGTTAACAAGCCCCAGGGAATTTACTGCGAGAGCGTGCTTTCCTCCGTCCCAGCGCTTCTCGTTGCCGAACCGTCGCCGGAACTTCATCTCGCTAATCGACTTGATCGGGACACGAGTGGCGTTATGGTTATAACAAAGTCGCACAAGGTAGCGTCTAAGCTTGTGAAGGCCTTCACTGACCACAAGGTTAAGAAAACATACATTGCCCTCTGCACCGGCCCACCTCCAAAGTGGGAAAGGGTAACCGTGAGGTCAGGTCATGGTAGGTCTAAATTCGGTGTCTGGCGAGTCTACGCTGCTTCAGATGTTGGTCGCACGCTACCGGGTGGGTCGGTTGTCCGTGCCATGGAAACTTCGTTTGAGGTGTTATCAATAAACCGAAAGGGGAGGTTCAGGGATGTGTGTGACTCTGAAGGGAGTGGTACTGTGTTGGTAGTAGAAGAACAAGCTGTGAAAGATGATGATAATGATAATGATAATGAGATAGTGGTGAGAGCGTATCCTCAGAGTGGAAGAACGCATCAGATTCGGTTGCATTGTCAATATCTAGGGATTTCTATAATCGGGGATGTGAAATATGAGGGTGTGTATGAGTGGAAAGGTACAACTTATCATGCTCATCACCTTCATGCCGAGACCTTGTCATTTGACCATCCTGTCACTGATCTTCACGTTATGCTACGTGCACCCCTCCCACCATGGGCTAACCAAGCGTTGCAACCTTATGAAGTTAAGGAATGAAATTACCTAATTCGATCCTTCCTGTCAAAATACTAACATAGTCATAGTAGACTTGAGAATTTGGTTGCCTCTTGTTCGTAGGTGATGAGCTCCTCCAGCCAGAGAAATTTTGAGGTTCTTGCTAAATGATTTATGTCAACGAGTTGTTCTTGCTAAGTGATTTATGTCAACAATTTGCTATAATAGCTCTGCCTCTGTTTCTTCAAATAATGTCATTTATGTTATGTTTTTAGTACCAGGGTTAGTGCTTATTACTGTTGTAATGTTCATATGAAAACAATTTACTAATGTTTGCTAACGAGGGGTTTTTCAATTAAATTTATACCGCTATGATATATATATATATATAAAGCATAGTTGATCTTGTGTGGACCACTTCAATAATGTCTCTGGTTGATATCACTTGAAACTTGAAAGACATGCCTTGGCAACTTGCGGAACAAATATATAACCTATAGATCTCTAGATTTAACCTAGAAGTCAAATGACTTTGCTTATACTGTTTTTACTTCTTGACAAGCATCTTATCTTAGAATAAAAAAAGAGTTTACGAAAGTAATTCAATTTTGATTTGTCCCTTGAA